ATATCCGTCTCACTTTCTTTTTTTTCTCTTTTACTCCTACGAGTAGTAGGCGTGCCTCCCTTTCCTCCATAGTAACAGAACCTGGAAAAAAATGGAAAAAAAAAATTACTAGTCAGGCTCATCATTGAGTAATGACTTCAGGTTCATCATTGAGTACTGACTTCGATTGTATGAGGAATTTTTAATCGTTCTGTGCAAAATCGCGTTTTCCATATTTATAAAACAAAACACATTAATTTTCTCAAAAATCACGTTATCAATATTTATAAAACAGATAACTGTGTTCATATAATGCAAGGGTATATAACACGCCATTTATTTCATATATGAATTCTCAATCGCTTTGTGAACAAATATGTTATAAACTTTACCTTAAACCAACTGTACCTTTCGCGTCGGGTCTCGACAAGTTCTAACCAACAATTGTACTTTTAGTAGACCAGATCCGACAACGGCTGCCGTCGATAAATCTAATCTGCGACCGTGAAAATGTTTCGGTCTTCTGAAAGCTCGGATGCCTTGTGTGTTCCGAACCGACAAAGGTACAGATCGTTTAACTTGAGTAGGAACAAATAATTCAATAGGAGTAGCTGCAGAACAATACCACATAGTTCCATATACTATAAAAGCTGCAAAAGACAATGCTGCTATGCTACTTGACAAGACAATTTCTACATTTCCCATACGTAAAGCTTTATATAACCTTTGAGGAGGTCGAACACGTAAATGGAACAAACCAGTCGAGCGAGACATCAAAAGACGTGATGATGCTCCTACTCTGATGGTAATCCCTTTAATACTTGCGTCTAAAGCTTTCATAATATAATATCCGATTTCGAAACTGGGGAATTCCGCTAGCGCGCCTCGATCGACACCAGAGAAAGAGGTAGACTAGCCAAGCTATATATACGTTGGATAGGAAGAGGATTCTCTAATAAGCCCCACTTAATTGGAGACTTAGGATTTATGTAAGACTTTTCACGCCAGCGAGTTTTCTTTCCGCTCTCTCTCTCTTTCGCCAATCAAGAATACTGTACAATAATTGCCCCCGTCTCACGGATTGTTCAGCTTTGCTAAGTATTTAGTTGAAACCGCGGTTAACTGATTAGCCGCGACTGATTAGCTAAGTATTTAGCTGAAACCATGGATTTCATTGAATGGTAAATCGAAGTCACGAGGTAAATGGGTGGGCTGACAGAATGATGACTCTCTCATTCCATCCTCTCTCTCTCTCGCCCCCCCCCCCCTCCTTCTCTCCCTCTCTCTCTCTACTTAGAAACTCTCTCTCTTTTTCTCCCTCCCCCGTAAACCCTTAATCCTCTCTCTCCCCCTCCACGTATTTATATGTGCATTATTCCTTCTGCAACAAATAATTTCGAAAACTATTCCAGAACGACGAGAGATATTTCAAAAATTGTTCGAAAGACAATGCTAATGTTGTGAGAAGTCGGAGAAAGAAGGAAGCAGGGAAGTCAGACAAAGAGTGAACCATAGACACAGACTCCGAAAGTAGAATACAAAGTTTCAATTAACCAATAAACGAACCAAGAACCGAGAATAGAACTAAATCAGGTCTTGGATGCGTAGTTGATCCTTTCCCGAAGTCGTTTTCCATACCGTCTTTAATAACCTTGCACTGCTGTTTTTTTTTTCGAGTCTACCATCCTAAATCCCTGCTCTTTGAGAGAGAGAGAGTTGAAGGAGAAGCATACAGCGGCCACACTGTAACTCACGCTGGAGGATCAGTACAATCATACACTAGCATATGAATAGGAAAAACAGATCTTCAATAAGTCAATTACGCGATACTCCGACGCGTTTCGCCGTGGGCGTATACCACGGCTCATAAGGGAGTTCTTTCCCAAAAACACCAAGCCTAGCATCAATCGCTGCTTGGAATGAGAGGGTTTAGGCCATCCCTCTCACTTGCTTAAATAGTCTCACCATCGCCTCAAAAACACACCAAAAACGAACCACCTCACCTATAACATGCCCCCAACCTCCTCGCCCACGACCATACACACCACTCCCTACCCTGAAAACCCCACTGAACTCTATTCCTACAAATACGGGAAATCCCGCCAACATAACCCATCTTCCTGATATACGGATACATACCCGATCGGTGGTCCATCAATCTCACCGTAACGATGGAGCGCGCAAATCTTTTTAAGTGTCAAAAAGGCAGCCGTTTCAGCAAAAGGATCGACTCGCCGAAGTATATATATGGAAGGTTGGCGGCGCTGAAGACGCGGCATAGCCAACACTGCGTTACACCATAGCGCCCGACAAACCTGGCTACTCAAAATTGGTAAACTCGACAAAACTGGGAATACCACTCGCAGAGGTATCTAGACAGAGACTATGTGCCTACCCACATTGCCCGTATATACTACACCTCCTTCGAGATTCCAACGTCCCGCCAGTAACACCACCTCAGCCTATTTGGCGAGTCGCCGTACCTGAGTCCTCGCAAAAGGAAAGGAAAACAAAAAAGAAAAACAAAAAGGAAATGAAAAAAGAAAAAAGAAAAGAAAAAGGAAAAGAAAACGAAAAAGAAAAACACGTGCAGAAAGGAGAGCGCACTAGGTAAGATAACTACTCAGGCCAGGTAAAAGCTGAGGAGCAAAGCCCCCCAGTTACCCCCGGCCACTCTAGCAAACCGAGCTAGAGAACCGAGAGAGACCTCCGGGGGATAACCCCGGAGGTTAACTTCCATAACCATGGCGACAATTGCTGTCATCGCATCTTCTTCTGTGTACGCCATCTGGCTCAGCCTCATAAAATTAGCAGCCAAGACCGATCTCTTCATTTTCTTAAATGAGAATGAGTTGAAATCTTGCAAGAAATGAATCTTGATTTTCCCTCCCTTAGTCGGGAATCTCTGATTCCTGGTTTTTGGCATGATCTTAATATCGATCGGACATATTCCCACATACACAAACGATCCCAGAAATTCGAAAGAATTCGTATCCATGTCCTTTCTAACCAACATGAGTTCACAGTCATAAGCCTTCTCGAACTTCGCGAAGATTTCAACAGCTTTCTCCCATGCCCGGATATCGGAGGAATGCACCCCTATCAAGACCACCACATCATCAATCCTGCGTATCCCTCGGACCAAGCGTTTGTCAATCCCAAGGGACGATAGGAACATAGCTTCGGCCCTTGCACAAACCAGACATGCAAGGGCCGGGCTCGAGTTCCTCCCCATGGGAATGCCAAACACCTGCCTCAGGGTTACCGATCCGCATTTGACGTATGCATGCGCCAAATCGTAAGTCAACACTTCCTTGATCAGATTGAAATCGAACGTGACATACCCTTCTTCGGCGGCCAATGTTCTGGACATCCTACACTCCTTACCTCTCCTGCTCACTTTGATAGCACACATGCCTTTACTCTCATGCACCCTTAGAACCCAATCCAGCGCTTCGTGAATCTTCGCATGGGACAGCTTAACAAACATATCCTTGATATCATAGCTGCGTGCCAACGCTGCATCGTTTCTTTTTCTTAACGATTTCTGGCAATGTGCGAACATATCTTTCAACTCATCAATAGACGAGAGATCGAAATGACCAATCTTCTTGAGACACAAAAGCATATATCTTACCGCCCTGCCTAGTCTGGCACTAGCTAAATGTGCAGGGTCATTCGTGGTTGGAGCTATCGGTTTCCAACGGTCCAAATCTTTCTCTTTCGGAATTACATATGCATGGATGATGCTTCCGTTCTTGCCCCACTCAGCCACTTGAACCATACCCTTCGCAACATACTCCTCTCGGCTCAGAATCTCGGAATCTTCCCCGTTCTCAATAACATATCCTACGTTCCAGCAGAAAGTGACATTCAGCGCATGCATGTACAAGACAGGACACATCAACACGGTAGCCCCAGGATTTCGGTCCACGGGGACCATAACCAGATTCTTGTACGTGCCCAACCAAGATCTCACCTGATCTTCCGAAATACCTGACTGATGGCAGGGTTGTGAGGACCATCAACCGTGCAAGTCATCAGGATGGAGCACGATCTTCCCTCCTTTCATCCAGGGCTTGATCGCCTCCTTGATCCCCTTCTCCACATCTTCTATCCGGTCACGGCCTGAGGTTGATATTACGGGAGTTGTGGAGGAATCTGGGAGCCACCTCAATCTCGTCCATCCTTACTCGAACGTGTCCCTGAGATCGCGGAAGCTGATACTTAGAACAAGAGCACTCAGCAGCGTCTTTCTTTGCCTAGGCTCGGTGGTTGTGCAGAATATCACCTACCGTCCTCCTCTTCAGCACCACTACCCTTACTCTGGTCGATAAGTACGTGCGAATGGACGAATCAATGATGGCGAGACCAAGGTACTTAGCAGCTACATCTCTCACTACTGCCGATTTCAGAGCGGGGGAGAAAGACACTTTAACCAGCGGTCTCTTTCTAATATCCACTCCAAACTTCACACGTACGACCTTGGCAATCTTCATCTTCAACTTGGCTCTGAAGTTCTTCCTTGAGAACAAAGTAGCAGATCGGCACAATGCTATAAGCTTCGCCGAATCCATCCTGTACGCTTGTTTGATCCTGTACGGTCTCGCCAAAATCTCCTTTAAATAATTCCGACAATGCTCAATTGCAGAGGAAACACACTTAACCTTCAAAACGTCGAATTGACCCCCTCTCTCCAAATCCAGTCTGCACTCCTTCAATGGCTTCTTCACCCCCTTCATCTCAATCGTCGATTCTCCATACTTGGACTTCACCTTCCTCCATCCGTCGCTCCACATGTTCCCCCCAAAGAAGTTCACACGAGTTGATCCCTTGATTCCAATCAGCGCCTTGAACAAACTTGTGAGCGACGCATAACTCTTGTCTCCTATCGAGAAAAAGATCACTTTACCCGGGTAAATCAATGGGCATCTCTTACCCATCTCCCTCCTTCCCTTTCTCCGGGACTTCTTCGATCCGCCCTGCGCTCTACCTATGCAATTCAGAGCCGGGGAGAAACGCATGATTAACATCTTCTCGATTTCCACAGGATTAGCTACTCCAACTATCACCGGTATGATCACGTAATTCTCCCAACCAAACCTCCGAAGCCACGCGTGCAACTTCCTTGCGTTTCCGAAATTCCCAGAAGTAACGCATCTGACGTGCTTTGCCCACCTCGTGATTACCCTTCTCACAGTGCAACCGATGTACATATGTTTGCACCAAGGACTGACTATATATACACTCCAGACTCCCTAGTGTCCACAGACGAGATCGCTTCGTCATTCAAAATTCCCAACCACTTTTTCACCCATGGGAAGTGCCCTCTGATCGCTAGCAATAGGAACTTCCTAATCGACAGATTCTCCAGTTCATAGTGAACCAACCTACCACTTTCACCGAATTTACTCAATCTTGCCACCATGCACTCCCTTAGTTCTTCCATATCTGCACGTTACTCACTTCTCACTAACTGGAGAGAAATCGGAGGGTTTCTCACAAAAACCTTCATAGACCAAGCGTGTTCTACAACGCACAAGCTCACAGATGACGTTATCACGTTTAGACCATGGGATACCTTCTTTGCTGCAGATCTTACGCAATTCGGGGACTTTCTTTGCGGATAATCTTCGATGCAATTCCAGAGCGTACTCAAGCACACCTTCACTGGAGCAGGCTGCCGATAAACCCTTGAGAGGGGTTTTCAATTCCTCCTCGCGTCCTTCCTCCCCAATCCCCAAAGGAGTCAAGCTTGCCCTCTTTGTTGCCGCGGCCTCCGAGCTCTTCCTCCTGGTGTCTCGCGTTAGATCGCCGTTCCTACCATCAGTGGACAGATTCGTGTCAACTTCGTAGACCCTCTTCTTCTTTCCCGCTTTTTTTCTACTCTCAATTGCGTCCGCTAATTTCCCCGCCTCCTCCCTTACTTCCTCACTATCCTCCTCCGACTCATCGATGTAGCTGCGGATCTCTTTGAGCATCTTCATCTTGGTTCTAGGCGACTTCTTTTTCACTGGAGGGGAGCCGGTAGTGATAGCGTACTGTCCTTTGTTATGCTGTGAAAGCATTCGGACAATAGTAGCCTCTAGTCGGGCTTCCCTTGCTTCCGCCTCCCTAAGCTTCTCTGACTCCTTCCTCTGCTCATCCTCCAACCTCCTACGCTCCCACTCATCCTTGGCTTTCCTCTCGGAATCTTCCCTTTCCCGCTGAATGGCCCGACGGTAGTACTCTCTCATTTCGTTAGTCTCTTGGTCCGGCTGTGTGGGAGGACGATTACCCTCTTGCCAACAGTTACGCGCATAGTGGTCTGGCTTCCCACAGATATGACAAATGATTGTTCCAGGATTCGTACCCCCCGCACCCACCCCCAATCCACCAACTCCTGGTGCCTGCTGATAACCGAACGGCATCTGCTGCCCGTATGGAAACCCTCCTCCGGGATTATTCATTATTCCTTATATTCCTTCTAATAACCCTCTCCCTCCGAAGCCTACAATCCCTCAGAATGCACCCGACGCTGTAAACTCTCCCAAGAACCATATCGAGCTGCGTGAGTACCTCTCTCTTCGTATCTTCGTTATTATCGTGAAGAGCTACATGCAATACTGGTATAAGATCGCTCACTTCCCTCTCAAAATCCGCCCACAGTCTCTCAAGTTCAGATTCCTTAATATTACGACAATTCATATCTCGAATGAGCGACACAATCTTCAGCATTCGATTACGATACTAAAATGACCTCCGACCCACATTAGATCCTCGAACTCATCTCCCCAAAACAAGCAAAAAGTATTGTGAAAAACTTCGTTCCTCCTATTCCCAATCTTCCACGCCAAACCCAGAAACTGCACTCCCGCATCTAATCATCACTTATCAAGAACCACTCACCATACATCTAACCAAGAAAATATCACATCCCCTCACATCACATCTCACCACGTAGCCACCAAATCTTCGTCATACCAAAGCAGGTTACTACGATCTCCGAGTTGAAGGAGAAGCATACAGCGGCCACACTGTAACTCACGCTGGAGGATCACACAAAAGTACAATCATACACCAGCATATGAATAGGAAAAACAGAGCTTCAATAAGTCCACTACGCGATACTCCAACGCGTTTCGCCGTGGGCGTATACCACGGCTCATTAGGGAGTTCTTTCCCAAAAACACCAAGCCCAGCATCAATCGCTGCTTGGAATGAGAGGGTTTAGGCCATCCCTCTCACTTGCTTAAATAGTCCCACCATCGCCTCAAAAACACACCAAAAACGAACCACCTCACCTATAACATGCCCCCAACCTCCTCGCCCACGACCATACACACCACTCCCTACCC